CATTCACTTACAAATAAATAAAAATTCACTTACATACAATACTGCCAACCAATACCTATAAAAAAGTAGTATAATCAATCACCAGGGAATTATAGGTCATTTGACCCCTCAAACATCCTAGTGGAACTCCAGGAAATAAAATTAGAGATCCTTGGGGCACCTGAGTGGCTCAGTCATTAAACATCTGCCTTTAGCTCAGGTCATGATCCCAGGGTCCTTGGATCAAGCCCCACACTGGGCTCCCTGCTCAGCTGGGAAGTCTGCTTCTCCCTCCCCTGCTCCCCCTGCTTGTATTCCCTCTCTCACTCTCTCTCTGTCAAATAAATAAATAAAATCTTAAAAAAATAAAATAAAAGTAGAGATCCTTAAGTGACATGCCATTCGAAATAATTACATCATATTCAATTTAGTCATCTGCTAAAGCTTTTCACTATTTCTATGGCTTAATTCTGAAAAGAAAAAGGTTTAGATGAGAAACAATGGGAAAATAAAATAATTTATGTACAATAGGAAAATTTCTTCAGGAATATAGAAAATTTAGAAAACTGTTCTATTATTTCTATGGAAATAATAGTAAAAAACTAATTTCTCAAGTTCTAATAGATTCCTTTAAACAACAATGTTCCAAATATAAATGGTATATAAGGTGAGAGGGGAAAAGGCTAATAGGGGAATTCTACTATTTTCATATCAGAAAATATGAATCATCTCAAGCCACCTTTTTTGTTAAGATTATGAATACTAATGCTGATTACAAAGTTAAAAACTACTTTGAGGAGTATTTCATCCCTTTGGTGTTATAAATCTATAATTTTCATATTTTTCTAAACAATAGATTTAAGTTACACAATATCATATCATTATTTCATTAAGAAACATATTTGCAACATTTTCTGTATTGCATCAGCAAACCAACAAAATCAGCAGTATACATGAAGGGTGATTAAATAAATCAGTTATGGGTATGAAGTGAGAAAAGAAAAGTGTACCTGGAAAAATACGGATTTATGCCTCTTGGATTGAGAGTAGCTAACTATATTTAAATAAAAGATACTAAGTGAAATAAGTCAAGAAGAGAAAGACAATTATCATATGGTTTCACTCATATGTGGAACATATGGAATAGTGGAGGACCACAGGGGAAGGGAGGGAAAACCGAATGGGAAGAAATCAGAGAGGGAGACAAACCATGAGAGACTCTGGACTCTGGGAACCAAACTGAGGGTTACAGAAGGGAGCAGGGTGGGTAGCTGGGGTAACTGGGTAATGAGTATTAAGGAGGGCATGTGTGGTGATGAGCACTGGGTGTCATACGCAACTAATGAATCATTGAACACTCTATCAAAATTATCAAAAACTAATGATGTACCATACACTGGTTAATTGAACATAAAATAAAGTTAAAAAAAACCTTTTGGTTCTACATTTTGAAATAATATAATTTTCTGTTCCATTGTAATGATAGCTATAGTCAATAGCAGAAATAAAAAGAAATAAATAAATAGTAGATAATTTTTTTTTTTGGCAGTGGAGAATAATATCCATCCATATAACTAACAGTTAAAAATGGATGCTTTCAGTGCCATTAATATTCATTCAAAATTTTTACACAATCACTTGTGAAGTAAAGGGAGTATATGTCAAAGTAGTTATCTATTACATACCTACATTAATAATCCCAAGTATACAACTTGGGTCTGAACCAGAAATACGTCTGAACTCGGTATGAGTCACAGAAATTTGAACAGACCAATATTATATTTGGCGTTGATTAAAATTACAGGTACAAATGCTTTCACTTCAATACTGAATATTCTGAATGCTTATGAAACATCAGTTTCAAATTCCCTTTTATAGAAAATGCTCATTAATGATAACCTCACATCACTGCAAAAGCTCCTCTAATACTTAATGGCTAGGTGTTATTTCTAAGTAATGGGGCACACGATTACATTATTTCAAGTCATTATAAAGTGAGGTTGAGACACAAACTGAAGCATCACCTTTGACCATTTAACATAGTTCAATGATCTCTGGTACCCAAGTAGATTTAGCACCCTACTTTCCCTGTTAGATAGCCCCCACTGTACCAATTAAAAAGGATCCTTCTGCCTATTATCACTACCTGCTTAGACTGACCATGTGTACATTTACTCCAGCCAAACTAGTCATGCTAATTTTATTTGTGGTCAATCTCCTATTTCCATGCTGGCATTGGACCGGGTTATGGCTGTGGGCTTTTCAGCACAATCCTATGCGAGCATTTAGTACTCTATTTAAAGATCATTGCAAATTTCCCATAAAATTAAGGTTCTGCAAATTTAATTAAATTTAAGATAATCTTGGGTCTGCATGCCCATAAAGCATAACATTTAAGTTGCAAAATGTAGGTTAGGTTTCTTGATAAATAAGACTAGGGTGCCAGTCAAGGTCTCATGAGTAGTCCAAAATGTCAATGCTGATGGCTTTTTTACTTATGTACCAGTACATATGTCTATACCTTGTAAAAGTGATATGGCCTAGATACATTTTTCTTATTTTAGTAACACATTAATGCTTGCTCCCATAGGGATATATTAAGCTTTCTGTTGTCTGGAATCATGATATTGCTAGGCTATAGTTATCCCAGCAATGCTATGGATAGGAATTTTCTGTCAGTTTATGTAATTTCATTCTTTAAACTGGCATCAGAATAAATCTTGTATACAAACTTGTTACTTACAACACAATTAGCTATTATTGTTTAATCTGTAAATGAAAGTATAAATGAGAATAAATGAAAATATTACTCCAGTATACTGAAATATACCAGAATATAGTGTATAAAAAATAAAAGTGAATATGTCTCTAGGCATAAGTTCTTAAAGCTATTATTTTTCAGTAAGCATCAGAGAAAAAAATCTAATGCAGAATTCAGAATAAGCTATGACACTATCACATGATACTCTCAATAGTTTTCTTATAGATTAAGTAGAAAACCCATAAAGATATTAGAAATTTTAAACTCTGAATTAATGATAGCTGTTTCAATAGTTTTAATTTCTAAAGGTCAAATTACATATTAAAAGTATTCCAAGTATTTCTTTGACTAAAGTGGAGATTATTGTGAAATAAAGCAGGCCTGAAGTCACCATCACGTTCTCAATCACATGTATGCCTTTATTTATTTATTTATTTTTAAGTTTTTATTTTTAAAGATTTATATATTTATTTGAGAGAGAGAGAGAGTGTGCACAGATGAGCATGGCAGGGGGAAGGCCAGAGGGAGAGGCAGAGAGAGACTCTCAAGCCAAATTCTTGGTGAGCACGGAGCCAGACCTCATGACCCTGAGATCATGCATGACCTGAGCCAAAACCAAGAGTCAGAGGCTCAGCCGACTGAGGGACCAGGTGCCCCGAGTTTTTATTAATTTAAGTAATCTCTACACCTAACCTGGGGGCTGGAACTAATGATCCCAAGATCAAGAGTGTCGTGCTCTTCCAAAAGAGACAGCCAGCGCCCCCCCACTCCCCGCCCCATGTATGCCATTAAAGAGAGGAAACAAAAAGACAGTTTCCTGAATAGTCCCAGCTCAAAGCAAACAAGCAGGACTGGCAGTGGCAGGGGTGACCTGTGCCTTCCTCCGAGCCCACCCACACTCAGCCCAGCCTAGACAGGGCCACAAGGGCAAAGCAAGATCTCCAACCAATTGGTCTCGAATTCAGGTCTCTCTTTCAGATATTTTTCAAATACTGGGGAGAAAAACTATGTTTGTCATTCACGATTCACAGTAAGTCCCTCAAAGATCACTACCACCAGCATTAAAATACCCATATTCCTTATTGAAAACCCTCAGAAAAAGTGACAGGAAATGTGACAGTTTCTTCTCATAATACCTTACATTTTGACAATTTACTCATCTATGGGCTGTGAATCACATTTCAAAAGGCAAATATAAAAATATATGACTTTTCCAAAACACAGGAAAGAAATTCATTAGATTTCCAAACACCTGGGGAAGACAGATTATTAATAAAGGTAGTTCACTGCACTTGCTGGAAAGTCAAACAAGTAAATGCGTTCTGTACTTTTTTTTCCCCAAAGATTTATTATTTGAGCGAGAGCAAGAGAGAGAGAGAGCTCGCGTGGATGCACACATGTGTGTGCAAATGGGGGGAGGAGCAGAGGGAGACTCTCCAGCAGACTCGCCACTGATGGTGGAGCCTGATGTGGGTCTCTCTCCCACTACTCATGAGATCATGACCTAAGCTGAAATCAAGAGTCGGACACTTAATTGACTGAACCACCCAGGTGCCCCATGTTCTATATTTCTGAACTAAATTTCTGTCTTATCAGACAAAGAAAAAATTAACCAAGCTAAAGGCATCTCATGAAAAGTAACTTGCTATAAAAGTTAGGAGGCCAGTTCTATTTAAGTCTAGAGGAATTATATCTTTGAATTCCAAGATTCCAAAGTTTTTTTGAAAGAGTGGCACGCATGGGTAGTAAGAGACTCCTAGCACACATATTTGTCAAAGATAAAGAACACAAAGTTTCCAGAGTGCAGAGAAGGAGTGTTTACATTCTCAGGCAAATATTGATTGCTCATTGAACAAATAAAATGGAGAAGGAACAGGCTTATCAGTAAAAGTCTCGGAGCAAACATGACTAAGCTAGAGAATTCAATCAAGACTGCAGGCATCTTTTTAATTAAATTTTTCCTAAAAAACATCTAAAGAACCAATATTCAAATGGGGAAGTATAAGTTTATATATTTAATTTCCAAGAAGATAAATGGCTTAAGCCAGTTCTACCTAGAGAGCAGTTGCAGATCAAATCCCAAACTGTTTGAGAAAGCCTATTTGATGACCAAATGCCCTTTTAAAAGTCTTTAGGAGCAAGGATTTCCAATGAGGTGAGTTTTCTCCTAATGGTTAAAGCAATCAGTTCACATAGGCACACAGATCCTATAGCAGCAATAAGTACAATTAATGACATGGTTATAATCATATTTACTCACCCTCCCAATAGTATCTGTGGCTGGCTGGATTCATTTGTAATACCAAATACATCAGGAATTAAATCACCATTGAAGCTGAAAAGAAAATATTAAAAACATTAAGCAGCTATTTCATAAAATTCTCATGTTCTAGCTTTAAAAGGAAAATAACCTTTGGGAGGTGTGGTTGACATCACAATGCTCACCAGTTTCTGCTGTGGTCAATAAAATGTTAGCAGAAGTGTAAGACATGTGTTATTTCTAGGCAAAAAAGGTTTATTATTTATTACTGGACCATCCAGCCTGCTTTCAGCTTGCAGTGGCAATGAGAAGACCATGTGTTTCATGTGGTCTGGCCCCACAGATGATGGGGCCTCTGGCACCTGACTGATGGCACAAAGTTGAGCGTACCACAGACCGACACTGGACATGCAGTGTAAGCAAGAAATGAACTTTTGTTGTGAAATTTTAGGTCTGTCTGTAGTTTCTGCATAACTTCGCCTATCCCTGAGTGGTAAGAAGACATCGTGTATTTCAGACCCAACCAATGTAGTTAGACGGGCTTAGGAGAAAAAGCCCACAAAAGTAATCCCCTGCTGGTTTAAACATTCATACTGTTCATTAAGTACTGCATCAAGAATGAAAAAATACACAACTATGAAAGCAATCAAGCTGAGGGCCTTTAAGATGATCAATCCATGGATTTACAGTTCAGACTTCAAATGGCCACTGACCTACTGATATATGATTACTATTTTAATAACTGAATGAAAGGCAGCAATGGAAACAAGAAAGTGGCTGTATACTGCTTTAGCTCCCCAAATGATCTCTGTATCATTACCAAAAGCCCTGACAGGAATTTGGATCACACTTAATCTAGTATGTGTGTGTATTTGAGAAATAAATGATAACACTAAAGAAGAGCTTTAAAAAAAGGTGTCTCCTTAATATAGACGTTTTTCTAAATCTCTGGAGAAAAGCCCATGCCATTCATATTTGTCAATCAAGTGCTAATAGTATTACCCTGAAATAGTTACCTTAATTCTTTGAGTAATGACATGGCTACAGTCAACATAGATCCATAATGGACACATTGAAAGCTACTGAAACAAAAAGACAAAATTTCTTCCTCTTTCTAAAATACTGAATTTCATTTTTTTTAAAAAAGATTTCATTTATTTATTTGACAGACAGAGATCACAAGTAAGCAGAGAGGCAGGCAGAGAAAGAGATTCAGGGGAGGCCGGCTCCCTGCTGAGCAGAGAACCCGACCTGGGGCTTGATCCCAGGACTCTGGGATCATGACCTGAGCTGAAGGCAGAAGCTTTAACTCACTGAGCCATCCAAGCGTCCCCTGAATTTCGTTTTTTTCTTTTCTCCATTATGGCAAGTAAATATCATACAGTCAAGAGTGTAAGACTATCAGTTTCAAAGGGTGAGTAAATTTAGTGTCAATGCTACTTTGCAAAGTGGTCTCTTATGTGAGAAATTTTATGTTTTTAAGTTTAAAATCATTCAAAGGAAACAAGCACATACTTACTCCATAATTAGTGGTTCATCTTGAAAAGTCCTATTGAGTACAGTCATATTATTAGGATCTGCATAGAAATAAAATATGTAAATTAGCAGGTACTTTATATTATATTTGATATCTACACTTGGGGTAAAATATCTGTTCTTTTCAAAATTCATCTACAATTAATTTCAACTACTACTATTAACAAGACACTATAAATCTAACTTAAATTGACACCAAGTTTGTAAAGACAAAATACTGGGGTTCATTCTATAGTTAAGACCATCATTACAATAACTTTCTTTAGAGGATTTAATCAAAACCTCTTAGGTGAGTCTTCTTTAAATACAATTTTGCACTGGAGCAATTGACAATATGCACAAAACTACTTGACTCTAAAATGTCCATGCTTACATACATGAAATGCTTCTTCAATGGTGCTGTTTCTTTAGATATTTACTGACAATGAATTTGAAGTACTGAGACTACTACTTATCTTCTCAAATGTTACAGAAAACACAACTGTATCCCTTCCACACTGCCTTGAGCAATCTGGCTTCATGAACAAAGTTATCTATTTAGGTATAACTAACTGGCTTTTCAGGTAAGTCTTGAAGGTTTTGGGGGAGACTCTCAAGCTCCACTCCAACCTTTTTGTGTTTTCCTATAACGGGGAGACCAGAAACCCAAACTAGCATTTCTCACATATCCCTGGATCTGAGATTCTGAATAAAATGTGAGCCTTGCCAATCAGATACACTGAATTTTGGAAGGCAGTAGTTCCACTTCAGTGTCTGATCACTGCATTTGTTGAGTATCAAGAGGCAGGGTGCAGAGCATCCATCTGGCTGGTGAGGGTCAGAGCAGACAGTGTCATTCTAGCAGCTGCTGTGCAATTGGCAGTGTTCTGATAGTAAAAAGCCTTCCTTGATGGCTCTGGGGACTGTTCCTGAAAGTTCAACCCAGGGTCTGTTCTTTAGCTATCCCAATGATTCTATAGGCCTTAAACCCTTTAATAAATCACTCTCCTCCTAAGATAGCAAGAGTGGAATGTGTTCTCTAGAAGTGATTTCAGATTCGCCCCTGACTGAAAAAGAAAAATCAGAAATTTTTTATAGACAATTACTGACTCTTAAGAAATTCATTACTGAACTGATTTCAGAACAATATTTTGTTATATTTACCTAAGAATAATGGGCATATTCTTCCTTTAATATCCAGTGATAAACATTAAAAACTCTTAAAAAACAAATTCACCTAATGTTTGATTTTGTCCCCAGAAGATAACAGCTCCCAATTCACTGCTGGCATGATTTTTGGGAAGATATGTCAGAAGGACATCCATTTGTGAATCTCCATCATAATCCCCAGGGACTACACTCGTTATCAGTGCACTGTGATTCCTAAAAGAAACAAACATTTTAAGGTATCGACTCAAGCTATAATGGAAAAGGACACCTTAATATTTGTACTACAGACAAATATTTTCAATGTAAACTTTAAAATCACAGAACTGATTCTCATTTCATTCTTTTTTAATTTATCATCCTTCATATACTTAGGCCTCTTTGAGCTACAAAATAATTCAGGATGACTGCAGAGACAAATCTGAAATATTTCAAAAGAAAGCACAGTTTTATGTTCTTACACTAGCTAATATAGTCCTTTTACTTTGTTCTTTTGTCAAGGACACCAATGCATTTGGCTGGTTTATAAGAAATGGAGGCTCATAATCAACTGTTAAGGCAATAAGGGGTATCACTGTCATTTTATTAGTTAAAAGTTTATTATTTGTAAAATATTTAATTTTTTATTTTAATGCAGATGTGAAGATTAATCATTTTATTTTTGAAAAATATTCAAGATTCACAATGGTAAATAAGTTCTTTTTATCAAACCTGGCAATATGCTATCAAAACATACATACCTAATTTTATATTTTAATAATGAAATAATTCTGAAATTATTTATATTAACCTTGAAAACTTAAAACATGTCTTCTTGTAACATTTGAATGACCCAACCAAAAAACAAGCCTTAAATTCAATCTTTATTTAATTCCACTTAGAGCAAATAGCAAGATAGCAAGTTTTCCAATAGACTAGAGATAATTACTTTGTAAATGGCATCAAGAATCTAAAAATATATATAACAGATTTTATTTAGGGTGAAAATGAGAAAAATACTGAAAAGGTTAAGCAAGGTTAAGAGGAGTGAAGAGAAACAATAGTATCATAATGCATCTACCTATTATGTCCCATACATTACATCAATGCTTAATAGCTATTAACTGATAATTTTTATCACCTGAATTATCATTCTCATTGAACTGACTAGAAAACTGAGGTCTGGAGCGATTAAAAAGCTAAAGCGAAAAGCTAAAACTAACTAGCTAACTAGCTGATAATTAAACTGAATAGCTGAAATTCAAATTGTGTCAGCCTCTAAAACTAAACTTCATCCTGATAAAATCATTTTGGTAATGCTAGTTTCCTCAAATAATTCCAACAATACTTTAAGTTTTTCCATGAAAATACCTGGTTTTTAAAAATGATGCTACAGCAATCACCCATGCTACGATGTAGCAAACTGTATCTAATTGTGGAGGTCTCTTCATCTGCATGTGCATACAGAAGCATACTCAGTAACACATACTGAACATAGTTGGCATTAATACCTGTCTAAATATATTCATGATTTGAGGGCAAAAAGTACGCTAGAATAGACAGGAATGTATTACAAAGGATTAGTTGGGAATTTAACCTAATCAGGTTATATGGCCACAAATGCACAGCTTCTTTATGGCTGTAAAAATAAGAAGTAGAACGTTTAAAGATATGAGATTGACATATGTGTTTTTTTTTTTTTTTAAGATTTTATTTATTTATTTGAGAGAGAGAGAGAAAGTGAGAGAGAACATGAGAGGGGAGAAGGTCAGAGGGAGAAGCAGACTCCCTGTGGAGCTGGGAGCCCGATGTGGGACTACATCCCGGGACTCCAGGATCACGACCTGAGCTGTAGGTAGTCGCCCAACCAACTGAGCCACCCAGGCGCCCCGACATATGCGTTTTTCTTTTCTTCTTTCAAAGAACCGACTAAAATGATACTGAATAAAAGTTTTTTAAAAATATATAACCCTCAAAAAAAAAAGAGATCATAAAGGGAGATAGGGAGTGGAAGGAATGCTAACTGACTTATGAGCACAAGAAAACTATAAGCTAAAACGTTTTAAGAAAAAGGCTTAAGAATGAAAGTTTTTGCCCAGAAGAACAACTGAGAAGCTCAGAATTTGCAGTCATCAGAAATTATGAAAGACAAGAGTGATGCAAGAGGCTGAAAACAGGTTTATCTGAAAGTCTGTATTGTCAGTGATGGTCCCTTGTCCCTCTCTCTCAATAAGACAAGAACCAAGCAGTTTATTAACCAGGGATTACAGATTTAACTTACAGCAAAGGATAAGGTTTGGGACTACGCTAAAAACAGAATGTTAATAGTAAGTCTACAGAAGGAACAATCTGACTCTTGCCCCCAGCTCTATCCTATTCCTTGGATGCCAGGCATCCAGGAACATACCCACAGGGCAAGACAGGAGATAAGTCGCACCATGCAAAGTTTCCAATCAGCTTGTTAGTGCCATACTATTAAGTATGATATTTCCACTTTTTGAAGAAAATTATGAATATTCAAGAGAGCCAAAACAAATAGCAATAAGGAAATGGAAGAAAAGAGAAATAATAAGGGGAATAACACTGCATTAATCAAAGAAAATGAAACAAACTGCCTTTTTTTTTTTTTAAAGTTGGTAGAAGTCTAGTCCTTTGTAGTTCAAACATTTCTTTCCAAGAAAAATCACTTCCAAGCAGGTCATTTCTTGTATATAATATTTACCTACTGTTCCCTGCCCACGCCAAGCATGCTGACATTTATTACTAGGAAAATTTCTCAAGAAGGACAGTTCCTGTTTGTTCATTTAAAACTTTCCTCTCAATGTTCTAATTCAAGGTCCTTTTTTTTTTTTTTAAGATTTTTTATTTATTTGTTTGACAGAGATCATAAATAGGCAGAGAGGTTGGTGGGAGGAGCAGGGTGGGGGGTAGAAATTAGGCTCCCTGCTGAGCAGAGAGACTGATGTGGGGCTTGGTCCCAGGACCCTGAGATCATGACCTGAGCAGAAGACAGAGGCTTTAACCCACTGAGCCACCCAGGCACCCCAAGATTTTTTTTTTTAACAAATGTCTGAGTTTAAATATTATAGAGTCTGAGCAATCATTAGCCCACAAAGGGACTTAAATATTTTTTAAATTGTTTCCTAAGTAATTTCTCATCTTTCTACAAACCAATTCACCCTGTAAATGGTTAACAAGTAAATCAACTTAAAATACCATTTTTTTCATCTTTCCTTTATTTTTTTTTTATAAGATTTTATTTATTATTTGACAGAGAGAGAGACACAGCAAGATAGGGAACACAACCAGGGGGAGTGGGAGAGGGAGAAGCAGGCTTCCGACTGAGCAGAGAGCCTGACCTGGGGCTTGATCCCAGGACTCTGGGATCATGACCTGAGCCAAAGGCAGAAGCTTAACAACTGAGCCACCCAGGCGCTCCTTCATCTTTCCTTTAAACAAGAACCTGTAATGATTCCCTACTTTTCATGGCATTCAGTTCAAACACTTTGTGATAACCTTATCATAGGTTCCTAGTCCTCCCTGATCTCATCTTCTTGGTCCATAACTCTCCAAAGTATACCATCCATTTCAGTTAAGTAAATCTTTCCATCTCCACTTCACAACATGCTTACTGCTATCTCTTGTTAATGCTGTGTCCTCAAACTTAAAAGCCTGCACCTAAATTATATTCAAGGTCACTGAAATCCTGTAACTTTCTAGAAGTTTCCACTTTAGTCTGCACTAACTCATTTTTTCTTCCATGAACCAGTCATCAATCAATTCTTGCTTCTTGATGTTTCAAAACTGTGCTGGCTCATTACTGATGATAATCACTGAGTTTCAGGCCATGTCAGTGATAAAAAATAAAAATAAGGACTATTATTTGAACAAATCTAAAATTCAGCTTGATTTAAATTCCTTCAAAATAAACCTTAAAAAACCCACCACTTACCAAGCAAAAAGAAATGAGCACAGAGATCACTGACCTTTTCCCAGTGCAAATAAAGGCCCCCTCCCACCCTCAACACATAGTTGACCTAACAAACCTGTGAATGAGCTGGTGCCATGTGCACACTCAGGATGAGGGACAATCTCCAACACATTCATGAAGGGGTATTAGATTGCAAGAGAATAAAGGATGTTTATGCAGGAACAAATCTAATTTACTCAAACATATTTATTTTTTTAAAAAGTAAGTAATTTTTAAACTTTGGTATACTCAATATTTTTCCTAACAAATCACTTGCTACCCATACCTCATAACTAGTGGTTTTGTGTCAACATAGTTGAGTAAAATTGATTCAAAGACAATTCAACTAGCTATTGCATATCAATCATTACAACAATGATTGTTTTTACAGGAAAATATACATTTGTACTTACTTCAAGGACACTTTTACTTTGGGTTTAAAATAGGGTGCATTCTGGTCTGCCAAAAAGACGATTAAATCATTTCCTAAAAGAAGTGAATATACATTATTAGAGAAATATTTCCAGGTAAAACCTCTAATCAGTGGTTACAAAATGCTTTCTGGGTGCTGTTCTTAACAAAAAAACTTTTATTTTACTCCAGTTCCTCTGCCCTCTCAAGGTGAGTCCTACTTGTCTGATGGAATGGGAATACCTAACAGTATATCACAAATTCAGTGTTAAAGTGGCACAGAAACAGGAAGGATGAACATAGAAAATGAGGCTGATCAGAACAAACTGAGGCCAATGGTTTCTGCCAGGAATCAGATCAGGTGACTTAAAAGAATACATAAAGAACATGCCTTTTACCTACAGTATATGTCAAGCCTTGTCTCCCCAAACCTACCAACATGACCTCTTATAAAGCTGTGAGTTTATCACACAGATGCATTGCCCCAGGAAACAGAAACTCCTACTGTAGGTATCTAACTAGTAACAAGGACATGATTACATATTTAAGAAAAAGTTGAATCTTCTAAGGTCCTCCTCTTGTGGCTTCTATGGAACCATCACCCAAGTTGATGCACTGGAACTCACTGGATACATTCATGAGAACTCACTGGAACACACTTTTGAAAGTGCTTAATTAAACCCAAGCCAACTTTCTGAATTCAGTTTGGATGGAATAGCTACAGGTTTGGCAGTATGCACCCTTCTTGCAATAAATACATAGTCATACAAAGATAGGAAAATTATCCACAGTCCACAAGAGGCTTTGGTATATTTGTAAGAGCCACAAAAAACCTGGACCAAGATCCTGTTAAGCTCTGTATAAACCTGCTTCACCTCCTTCCTTCATGGCCTTGATCTACCCAGTTCTGTAGGTACTCAAAATGTTAAGACCCTTTAATATCCATTGTCAGCATCAAGATTTACAATAAAGTTTGTTTAGTGATGATTAAAGCAAAGAACTCCTAAGAACCTCAAGTTGACAAGGAAAGCAGAGATTTGGAAGATTAGGGTGGTGACCAAAGTGAAGAAAAGGTCAGGTGCTCATAAGACTACACAGCTCAGGAGGGAGAAGAATCCGCAGTTAAACATTGATAAACACTGGGTTTATCAATGGTCCCTTCAAAATGGTTGTGTGAGCTGTGAAGTGTATAGGGCACAGGGCGGGGGGCGGGGGCAAGGGGGCGGAGGGACGAAAGTGGATACAGTAGCTTCAAAGCTGGGACCCTGAAAAAGGGAGGGGCGGGTGAATAAGGCAAATGAGGAGGTAGGTATGAGAAGAAACTGTCAAGTTGCATCTTTCCCAGTTCATTAAAGGGGAAGCAATATCTAAGGAAGTAAAGCAGAAAGGAATGAAGGGATTTGGGGAGGGAAGGCAGAGGGAAGCTAAAAAGACTCCTGGGAATCAGGAACGACTTGGGAAAGCAGGTGATTGCATGGGGAGCAGAGGGTACTTGGGTGAAGGCCTCAGGCTTCTCAGGAACAACACAAAACCCTGGGGTGTTTCTAGGGCTCTTGTAGGTAGATCAAACTGTGGGGTGGCCAGGCCAGCATCCGGGGCTGGAAAAGATGGAGAAAACGGGCAAGCTGCAAAGGATGCTGGAAATTAAGGGAGAGACAGGGTTGGGAGAGAAGGGCTGGGAAATGCAGGAGGACTGGCCATCCGGGCTAGGGGTGTGGGAACACCGGGAGAGGCACAGGGACAGCGGACAGAGGGAGGGCCGGGCAAGCACTGACTTTCCCGCAGCACGAAGAGGTCCGTCTGCTTGTCGGAGTTGAGGTCTCCGAAGGCCGCCAGGGTGCCCCAGGCCTCGGCCCCAAAGAGCTCGGCCGTGACGTTGTGCAGCGCCCGCGCCGGGACCGGCCCGACTCCCAGCAGCGCGAGCCCCCCAAGCAGCTGCGCCAGCAGCACCCAAGAGCTCGGCAGCCGGCCCGCCGCCGCCATGGCAGCCCCTCGGCCCCCGCCCGCCGGCCCAGTGCCGTGCTTGACGGCAGCCGGAAAGCACCGTGCCGCCGGCCGAGAAAGAAATCGCACAGCCGAGGTGCTCGCACGAGCCGCCACCGGTTCCCCTCTCACTCTCCCCTAGAGCTAAACCTCTGGCGCTTGGGAGGCCGCGGAACTAGGTTGAAAATCGCCCTTGCGCTCACTTCCGGCCGGCGCGCCTCTCGACAGTGTCGCGCGGGGGGGTGGGGGGCGGGGCCGGCCGGGAGGAGCTGACAGGCGGCCCCGGGGGCGGTGGCTAAGGCGGCTGCCCGAGAGCGGTGGTGGGGTTGGCGGGGCTCATGGCTGAAGTGAGCTGGAAGGTGTTGGAGCGAAGAGCCCGGGCCAAGCGCTCAGGTTTGGTTGGCTGGAGCGCCACCCCCTTCCCCAGCACCCGGGTGCTGCTCCCCCTCAAGCGCCTTGGACGGGAGGGTGGTGGGGGTTCTGGGGTTGAACCTGTGCCCGCGTGTGTCCCCTTAGAAAGCAGAGGGCGGTCCGTGGCCTTCTTGCTCATGTCTACCCCCATCCGCACCAGTTGGTGGTGGCCCCAACTTTACCACATGTGTTTTTCCCCAATGCTATTTCGTATGTGTCCCCCCCTCGGAAAGTAGGTGGTGGTGTCGACTAAGCCTCGAGTCTTTAGAAATCAGGTGGCTGCCAGTTTCCTGGGGGGGACTGCGTCCTCCCTCAAAAATCAGCTTCATTCTTAGATGTGACTATGATCTGGTCCTAGAAAACTGGCAGCAGAAATGTGTTGCCTAATTTCATATCTCCCTTTTACGTTCTTCACAAGTTCTGTGAGTTTTCTATGAGGCACGAATCGAGGGGGGACAGGGCCTTACGCTGTGAAGGGGGTCACGTTGAGCTTGCTTAGGGCTCAGAAGGAAGCGGGCCCCTTCCCTGGGCAAGTGGCCCCAGGACTCATAGTTCCCAGTGGTGCCTCCCACATCCAAAGCCGCTGGGGTCAGAAGACGCTGCGCAGGCAGTTACAACAGTTGGAAGTGTCCTGAACTGACTTGTTCAAATTGCAAAGTCACGACTTTGAAGTTAGCACTTGTGGCTGATCACTCCTCTAGATAGAATTGAAACTTCCCTTATTTCTTGGCTGGCTGGATATAATCTTGAGCTAAATGTGTGCCTATAAACAGAAAAGATGTGTGGAATGACAAGTGTTCAATTAAGAATCTTCCTTTTTAAAGGATTGACGTTATTATAGGTCAGTGTTGAGAGATGCTAATGTTAAGCAAGGAAAGGCATGGCCCTCAGAAAACCAGACTGTGTTTGCATTGATATTGAGAATTTTTTTTTTTTCTTCAGCTAATATGCCCCATTATGTTTGGGGTTTTTTCAATTTATGTATTTTTTAGTTGTCTGTTGTGTGGTTTGCCTTTTTTTTTTAATTTAAAAAATGTGTCTAATTTCATAAATCATACAGGAGAAAGTCATTGAGTCTTCCTTGCCAATTTCATCGTTTTTAAACTTTACTTAAAAAGTTTTGCACTACTTACTTAGGTTACAGCAAAACTACCAGGAAAGTATGAGAGAATTTTTTAACAAGTAGTCCTTAGTACATTTCAGAGTCATTACAGTTATTCGAATTAGTCACATGTATTGTTGTTTGACAATTTTTAAAATTTTTGTGTCATATTGAAATACTGATTGACCACTAACAATGTCTACCTGGGCTATAAAAAGTGTTAATTGTATTGAACACATCTGGTCAAAGAGAGTAACCTGAGTTTTCTTCCAGGGAACTGAGCTCTGCCCTCAACGTCTATTTTACAGCATTTCTCTTTTCTCTTAATAAGCATATAGGGTATATTTTCTTCTCCAGGCTTTATTTTTTCTGAATTGCATGTCATAACAGTAAGCTTTGAAAACCTACCTTCCCTTTCTTAAGTGAGAAAAAAAAAAATCGGATTTAACTTTTGTTGAATGCAGTCACTTAAGTCCAGTTTCATTTGCAAAGGGGTTAAGTGCATAGTATAAATGTTAGATGTTACAGTGTGTTTATATCATGGTAGTAAAAGATAGTATTTAAAGTCATTCTTCCAAATTAGTTGAGGTTTCAGGTTCTAACTCTGTAAAGTGTTGACTATAAAGTTTATTGCATGAATTATTGACTTCCTATGTTATTAAAAACAATCAACCTGATTCTGTTTGTTACTTTTAGAAGAATATATAAACTGAGCTTAGTTTCAAATATATAACCTGACTCTGAGATAGATGCCACTGCAAAGTTCTGAGCATTGTTACATAGTAGCGAATCACTTCACTGCTCAATAGAGGATGCTACACTTGTGTAATGTTTAATAAGTGGATAGTATATATTTTCTGCCTCATCCATATAAGCAAATGTAATTTATCAAAGCAAAGAAAATCAAATTTTCAAGTCATTAAAAAAAATAAAATTATAATGAGCCTCGATTATTGCCTTTGTTGCACACTGCATCATGTTAATAACTGCTCACACTGCTTTCAATTAATCTAATGCTGATTGCTTCTAACCTTCACTAAACAGTTTTGAAAATTGCTGTAGTTTAGCCTGCGACGCTTATGATTAGAGTCAACAATTTGAAATGGCCAGCTCACCTGATGCCATCGTCTCTTCTCCTCCAGCTTTCTTAAGGTCTGGTAAGTGTGTAGACCCCAAAAGGGTCACTTGGTAATTTTAAATACCTTTGTTTCTGAAGGTTGGTGTCAACCATATGATATCATCTTGGTTTTATTTCCTCTTTGGTGGGCCCAAGCCTGGCATCATTTCTGTTTTGTTAGACTCAAGTTTGTACTATATGTTGAATGTGGCCTATAGTGTTATTGTGTAGGGCGTGAGAAGTGTAGAGAGGAGCCCCTGTCTTTACTCTAGCAATATGTGACCAGGGTCTGGGAACCTCAGTGCCAGGGATCCTCAGTTGTAAAATGGGTACCTAAAAAGTTTCTTAAGTGATTATCATCTTCTTGGATAATGGAAGTAACTTTTTTAAATTAGAAATTTTTGGTTAGTGTTACAATTATTTCCTCATCTACTATCTGTGAAGTAGGGTTTTTTTTTCTTTTTTTTTCTTTCTTTTTTTTTTTTTTAAAGAGAGAGGTGGATGGAGGGGCAGAGGGAGAGGGAAAGAGAGAATCTTAAAAAGTCTCCATGCCCAGCACAGAGCCCAGTGTGGGGCTCCATCTCACGACCCTGAGATCAGGACCTAGGGTGAAATCAAGAGTCTGATGCTTAATTGACTGAGCCACTGAGGTGCCCCTGTGAAGCAGGTATTTTTGTAAATACGATTTCATAGACAGGAAATGGAAGCTCACAAAGGTAAAACAACTTGCCCCAGATCCCAGACTATTATGTTTCAAGGGTATGTGCTTTGCCTTCTACCCCTTGGCATGTTGGTATAAGGGCTGGAGGAGACATTGGCACAGTGGCTCTTGGACATGTTGGTGAGACCCTTTGCAAGCTGGATGAAAGCTGATTGCTTCCCTCATGAGTCCCTAGGATTTGGAAAACATATGCAAGGAAGTTCATGCATCCAATGGAGACCACGTTTGTATTCTCATTAGGAATTCAGGTCTTTGGCTGTATCTAGTCTTGCTTTACAAAAGAAGGAAAGGCCTTCTTTAGGGCTTTTTTCTGTATGTAGTGACCCACCTTGGCCATTTAAAATCTGTTCATTGTGTGAACACTCTCGGAGAAGCCTTTTGGCAAGAGGCTGCTTTTCGTCTCAAATATGCCTTAAGCAGAATATTCAGCCTCAGGACTCATTAACAGGTAAATGTGAGATGAGGCAGCCCAAACCCTGACAATGAAGCCCAAACCTTTATTTCCATTTAGATTTTAATTCCTGTTTTGGCAAAATCTTGAAATAGGAAGGAGCTTAAGGAAAAATCACAGAAAAGAATGCTCATCTTAAGGAATGAAAATGATCCTTGTCTTCAGTTGTCATCTGCTAAATAGCAAAATAGTATATAATATATAACATTGACAGTTGATTTCTGGTTTAATCTTTGAACTAAGAGAACAAGAAGACATATATCTTTGGACTGTGTTTTCTGTATTTTAAGCACCAGGCTCTGTTTTCCATTTTGGCTTTCCTAGTAAGGGCTTGGTGGGTTTCCAGCATTAGCAAAGTCATTCAGCAGTTATAGGGAAAGAGAATACTAAAGATATGCTTTTATGCATCAATAGTCCTGAAAATTTCAAAACATAAGAACTGTGCTTTAGCATTACATAGGGTATTTGATATACAGATGCTTCATATACAAGAAGCATTTCCAGTACCATATCATTAAATTGAAATAGAATGCACCAAGAGACAAAATAGAAATATACCAAACTTCACAGTTTTAAGCTATGTTAAAGACCTGATTCCTTGTGAATTACTTTCAACATTTACACTTTTGGGGGGTTCCTCTAACCAAAACTTAATAATGACTCCAAAATCTCCTTAAATCTTTTATCTGCTAAACACTCTGAGTGGTTTGCATTTATAATTTATTTACTAATTGAGAAATACTGCTTTGGAAATGATTTATTTTCCCTATTGTGATTTCTTGTACATTATCATTGTAGAAGAGTGTTTTAAGGAATAATTTCAGGGGCGCTGGGGTGGCTCAGTTGGTTGAGCGACTGGCTTAATTTCATTTCAGGTCGTGATCTTTGGGTTCTGGGATCAAGCCCTGTGTCAGGCTCTGCACTCAGCAGGGAGTCTGCTTGAGGATTCTTTCTCTCTCTTCCTTTGCTCATGCCGTTGCTTTCTTGTCTCTCTGTCAAATAATTAAGTAAATAAATCTAAAAAAAGGAATAATTTCATTTAACAGTTATTCTGAAGCATGACCTTGGTTGACAGCTGAGCTTTTCCCTGGTGTTTTTGGCTAGATGCTATCCGATGTTACCAAAAATGAAAGCTAGTACCTTGATTTTGGAAAATTAACTTCTAGTGTACCTAGATTGTTTTATGTATTGTAACCCTCTTTATTTCTCCTGAATTTATTTCTATTATTTTGTCTTCATTCCCACTCT